TCAGCTGGCGACCAAAGATCATATGAAAGCCTCCCTTCTCTCCGATTTCTTTAAATCCGTTTACACCCAAGAACATGCAACTCCAGTACGTCCGCTCATCGACAGATAACTCCGCCCTCATTCTACTTCTCATTTCTCAAAAACAGGACCTAGCTTTTTCACCCGACATTTTCAGGGCCGAATTACTCCATCTGAAGCCTGTCAAATCACCTGGGCCAGATAACATTCCTGCCCTAGCACTAAGAGAATTAGCTAACGAACTGTGCAATTCTCTGGCTGCCATCTTCCAGAGGTCTTTTGAAGAAGGCGTACACCCAGAAGAATGGGAGTGGGCAAACGTCACCCCGATCTATATGGGAGTGTTACGACTTGATTGCGCAAATTAATGTCCTGTTAGTTTAAGATGCATCGCGTGCAAAATAATGGAGCGCATTATCAAGAAATATTTAATGGAGTTCCTGGAAAACAACACAATAGTATGTTATGGACAGCACGACTTTCGTCCAGGACGCTCTTGCCTCACCAATGCTCTTTACTCACACGAGAAGTGGACAAAGGCCATAGGTAAGGGCTATCCAATTGATGTCATATTTTTCGACTTTAAAAAAGGCCTTCGATAGTGTACTACATAGGCTTCTTCTATAGAAGATTTGGGGCGTGTGAATTCACGGAAAAATGTATTAATGGATCAGCAGTTTCTTGGACTTCAGAGAACACAGGGTCGTTGTTGGAAATTCAACCTCGGAATGGACAAAGGCCGAGAGTGATGTACCACAAGGCTCTGTTTTGGGCCCGATTTTCTCCCTGATCTACTTAAACGACTGCCTCAATGACCCTGATTGTGTAGCTTTCATGTTAGCGGATGACATAAAATATGGGCTGAAGTGAGCAGCGTCGACGAAGCAAAGAGGTTACAGTCGAAAATCGATAAGCTGGTTATCTGGTCGTCCAAGTTGCTTCTTGGCTTTAATGTTTCCAAGTGTCTGTCTCTACACACAAGCCCAGGTCAAAAAA